AGCAAATTTTTTATTAATTCGTTCTGTGTTTGCTTATCTTCCAATTTCGCAACTCTGGCCTTAAGCTCAACATTCTCGGCCTTAATTTTATCTCTTGGTCTTAAGCTTGCTAATTAATAAATTGGATAAAATTGTTGAATTTATAGTCTGAGACTGCATCATTACAGATAACCCATTTCTCATATACATTTGATAAAATAATAATACTTTATTTATGAAATAAAAACGTTGCCGAAACAACTATAAAAAATTGCGATTATATTATTATTACATGATAGAAATGATCAAAGGAAGAAAAATATATTATTGTTCAATGACTGTTAATGCTTGTTGCTTTTGATTTTTAATACAAAAAATTTTGGTATCATTATGCGTAATTTCATAACCATACATCTAAAGTATAATATAATTAATGGCACTATTGATTACTGCCGATTGTATAATCTCACCAGTTAACGAACATGTAAAACTGTACCCGCTGGAGGTTGAGTTGAATTTCCTTGGTTGTCTACGAAATAAACCCTTGCTACATCGTTTGTCATTTTTTCAGTTTTTTTATGAAGGTTATTACCAAGATCCTTCGTCTGTAGACTGTTCTTTTTATATGAAAAAGTACCTTGTTTTCTGTGCATTATAGAAGAATCGATAGTTTAACCTGCTGTAAACATTGTGTTATTAATCTATTTGAAAATATGATTTAAATTTAACTGGTAATACATACTTTAAAATTTTGTAGGAAAGTTGGCTAAACTTCCAGCATGCTTTATATCCTTTTTTTTTTCCTGGAGAAAATCAGGCAGAATCTTCATACCTTTTCACATGGAGAACTACCCTGTAAGACGTAAAGATAGTTATCTCTTGTAGATCTCAAAATTACAAAGTTCTTAGCCTTAAGCTCGCTAATATATTGTTTCAATGAATTGGTTTCATCTATTTCAGATTGCATGCTTGCGTAATGTAGTATTAATATGTTAATATTCAAAATAAAAATCACGTAATTTCAGTGACCTCAGGTCGTTCAAATTTTGCTAAAAAAAAAAAAATACAGATGAATATGTAAAAATAATCAGCCACCAGGGCACTTTATTGATATAGAAAAATATATAATGTTTCTATGCTAAAATATATGAACAATCTCTATATTAACTATTTGTTATATAGAGGCGTGGAGACAGTAGAACTTGGATTAACATTTCAGGGCAGATGAGAAGTGGCTTATTCTAATGCCTGCATTAGTAGACTCTTATTCACGATCATAATATTTCTCAAAGTTAAAAGTACACGTATGAGAGACTTAATTCGCGATGTATTATTACTTGACGATAGGGGGATTTCTGCATGATCCAGGTGAAAGTATCGAGGAATGCCAGCTAGATCTTTTACAAAAACATTCACATACATAGTTGTACCCACGACCTGAATCCCTACAACACCAAATTGATTTCCAGCTGGTCTACATAACGCACTTACAAAACTTGCACCATCCAATGTTTCCCTCCATAATTTTACATTATTATCCACTTTTTTTGATTTGCTATATATGATACGTGATGATTCAGTATACATTAGCTCAATAATCTTTTCATCTTATTTCAGCAAGCCCATAACATCAGGTTTCTTCCCATTCTCTCTTCATTTATTCCAAGATTTCGTCAAGCTTTGCTTACTAGACTTTGGCGTTCTGCTGTACTCAAGCAGATACTGCCATTAGGAAGCCCACTTAAACTTGCTCAAAGCAAAAGAATTATGACATCTGCAACATATATCCCTTCACTCTGCTCACTACGGGATATGCTAGTCATAAATGCAGGATTAATCTATATTTCACCACTAAAAAAGTATATTAGCTATTATTTCATAAATATTTTTATAGATAATTTAGCGAAATACTTACAGTGTACCTAAAATACATTCCACTACTTTTACTAGTTCAGTTTCGCTTTCTTTTTATCTTTTATCATGAAAATCATTCCTCATAATTCTAAATACGCTGAAATTATTGAAATCTTTCACAAATCTATCACACTTAACCATAACTGAATCAGGAAGTTCACACTTCATATTTTCGCGTGGTTCTATAAAGATATTTTTCTGTCTACGCCTCAAATTTTTTACAATATCAGAGTCATCACTCAGAACCATGCTTGCTTCGGGATCTTTCCATATGAGATCTGAAGAGGTAATATTTGTCAAATTTTGTTTGAGAGAGCCGTAAAGATTTACATCCGCCTCTGATAAAGGATGCTAAGTATATAGTTAGTTGACAAATTTAACTAAACAAAAAAAACATTGAACTTCTGATAATTACTTCAAGCTTATACTTCAACTTAGAAAGATTTTCTTCTATTTCTTCCTGGATACGATCTAGAGGTGCTTCTATTTTCATATTTAATGCCTTTAATGCTTTCAACTCATGAACACTGATATATCTACTCTCTATCTACAGTAGATGCAATAAAAAAGTACCAGTACATTAGCCTAACCTAAATTCATGAATTATATACAATCTTCACACGTATGTTCTCAGATGTGTTTTAGATAACATTATTTTGGCTGAATAGTCACGCACAGTCAGAGAGGAGCAGAAACCCTCGACATCTAGAGGACATCACTCTTATGGGTCGGCACTCCCTGACCTTCAGCTATAATATACTAAAACTAAAAACTACATCTACTATAGGCTTATTATTGAAGACGTAGATAAATAATAAAAATCTGATTTGCATCATACCTGTGGTAATATTTCTAACATCTTAGTTTTTCGCTCAAGATCTGTTAGCTTCGCTAACGATAAAGTGACTGCTCAGTCAACTATTTCTCATACATCATTATATGAAGAAAGGGTATTATCCTCTATTGTCAAGTAAATAACAGACACCTTACAAAGAGTATCTAATGATTCTTGTAATAAAAGACTTTAACCTTGGCTATTAAATTCGACATAGTGAAAAAATATTAATAAAAATGTATTGATATAATGTGAAGTTTTCAATGACTTAAACATAAATTTTCCATACT